TACGTGTTTACATGTGGAGGTACTGTCATATCATGGCGCTCCACAAAACAGTCAATTGTTGCTACTTCTTCAAATCATGCTGAGATAATAGCTATTCATGAAGCAAGTAGGGAATGCGTATGGTTGAGATCAGTGATTCATTTTATTCAAGAAAAATGTGGTTTTGAGTGTGATAAAAAATTCACAATTTTATACGAAGACAATGCTGCATGCATAGCCCAATTGAAGGGAGGATTTATAAGGAGATAGAACGAAGCACATTTCACCAAAATTATTCTACACACACGATCTTCAGAAAAATGATGACATTGATGTGCAGCAAATCCGTTCAAGTGACAATCTGGCAGATTTATTCACTAAATCTTTGCCAACTTCAACTTTTGAGAAGATGGTATGCAAGATTGGAATGCAGAGACTTAAATATTTGAAACAAGGTTTTCATCAGGAGGAGTAAAATACGCGATGTACTCTTTTTTTCTTACTAAGATTTTTTCCCACATGGTTTTCCTTATAAGGTTTTTAATGAGGCAGCTAGAAATGCGTATTACTAAATATGTGTACTCTTTTTCCTTCACTAGAATTTTTCCCACTGAATTTTTCCTAGTAAAGTTTTAACGAGGCACAATACCTTTTAATGAACATTCAAGGGGGAGTGTTATGAAAATAATTATATTGTGGATGTTCATTTATTACTCCGCTATAGATAATCTTCCTGAAGAAGATTATCCATTTAGTACTTTGTTGAAATTTATATGCAAGCAGGTTGCAAGCAGCTCAATGAAATAATTTGCAGTAACTTCTTATTAAACAGGCAGGTTGCAAGCAGCTCATGCAGACAGCTTACAAGCAGCTAAAGAAAAGCCTTGCAACTGCTTCCTGAAAAGCCTCGTAGCTGTTTCCTATCTTCTATAAATAGAGTAGTTTTCAGTTCATTATGTACATAAGTTTGAAGTTTGAATAATATATCAGTTTCTCTCTATACTTGTCTTTACTTTACAGTTTTTATTTTATAACATTTCTATCTTTTTTCCGGAAGGTCTTTTTCTTTTTAAATTCTGGAAATAAATGCTTAAAAGAAAAGGATAAAAAATAAAGCAAAAATAGAAGAGTGCTGAACCCGAAAGACTGGCACTCAAGTGTCGAGCAGACGGAACAAACAAACCCTAGTAGCGTACACATCCAGAAGCATAGCGTATGACTTAATCTGCAGAGAGGCAGCGACTGAGCAGGGGTGAAAATGGAGATAACCATGGGGGAACCCGGCGAGATACTACCGGAGCACAAGCCGGAAAAGTCTCCCTACGAAGTTCTGCAGCAAAGCAAAGCTTCAGTTGAGGAAATCGTTACAAAAATGCTGTCCATCAAAAAAGAAAGCACGCCGAAATCTGAACTTCGCGAACTCGTCACTCAGATTTTAATCAACTTCGTCTCTCTCCGCCAGGTTAATTTCTTTTCATTCTATCTCCACTTGTTCTTTTGTTTTTCCCTAATGCTTGTGTATTAACTACCTTAAACATCCTCCGCTAGGCAAATAGATCAATCTTGCTCGATGAGGATCGTGTGAAAGGGGAAACAGAACGTGCAAAAGCTCCGGTGGACTTCACCACGCTGCAGCTCCATAACTTGATGTATGAAAAAAGTCATTACTTGAAAGCTATAAAGGCTTGCAAAGATTTCAGGTCAAAATATCCTGATATTGAACTTGTTCCTGAGGAAGAATTCTTTAGAGATGCACCTGAGGAGATAAAAAGCTCTGTTATGTCAAAGGACAGCTCACACAATTTGATGCTAAAGCGGCTCAATTTTGAGCTATTCCAGGTAACTAGCTTAATTCAATTGGCAAGAACTCCTTTCTATTTCCAAATTAGTAATCTGTTTTATTAGCGTTAATTTCTCAGTATCTTGTGCTAAAGGTAGTTATTAGGCTTGGTGTTTCATGTTGCTTGGTGAATTAAAGTTGTTATCTTGCTTCTAAAACTCTTGTCTTCATGGACTATCATCTTTATTAAAATTACTAAAGTGGTTTCAGAAGTGGTTTAGTGGAGAAGGGATCATATGAAGGTTGTTACAATCAATAACGATAGACCCTGAAAGACTGAAACTATACCCAGCTTGGCTTCCCTTTAGTGGTGCTTTCAACCATAGATTCTGCACATATTGCACTTATTTGTAGATGTTGTAACATGTTATTTCATGAGCTGAAAAAAGTTCTTGGGGTTATTTAGTATTTGCTAATGTTGAGGTCAAATTCTATGCTTCTCCTTTATTTGGAATTTGTATTAGATCATATGTATCAGCCAGTGGCGGAGCCACCTTATAGGAAGGGGTGTCAAATGACACCCCTTCGCGAAAAAAATACACTGTGTAGGTAGGTAAAAAAATAAATTATATGTATATATACTATGTATTGACTCCCCTTAATTTCCTGGTATGTTTAATTTTATATATTTTGACACCCCTTAACCAAAATTCTGGCTCCGCCACTGGTATCAGCTGTGTATGTTTGTAGAATACTCCCATCTCTTATAAGTTATATGATCATCGGAGGAGTGGCATGTGTGCGCACGCGCATGTGTGATAAGTCTGGCTGGAGCTTTGTTTTGAGTTTACATATTTGCTGTGTCAGCGCAAAGAATTATGCAAGCTTCGTGAGAAACTGGAACAGAAAAAAAAGGCTCTACAGGAGACCATTGCAAACAGAAAGAAGTTCTTGTCAAGTCTCCCGTCACACCTAAAATCACTCAAGAAAGCATCCTTGCCGGTGCAGCACCAACTTGGAGTTCTGCACACAAAAAAGTTGAAGCAGTTGCAATATGCAGAGTTGCTTCCTCCGCCTCTCTATGTTATTTATTCACAGCTAATGGCCCAAAAAGAAGCCTTTGGAGAAAATGTGGAGCTGGAGATTGTTGGTAGTGTGAAGGACGCTCAAGCTGTTGCCCGCCAGCAAGCAAATAAAGACACTGGTTGGTCCCAGTCTATAGATTTCTTATTTGGGCTCATCATGTGTTTTTTTCTCTTTCCTGAAACTGCTGTGTAAACACTAATATCATTTTATCATATTATGCCTTCTTCATGTGCTCTGCTCTAGTCTGCTATAATGGCACCTATTTCAAAATTAAAGTCCGCCATAATGTTTATTTTCTCCGCCAGATTCAAGGTTGTTGATGCATTTCTTTGCTAGAAAAATTTTCTTTTAGGTAAACTGTATGATCACAAACTAAAGCCAAGACTTTATACTATTTTAACGGTAATTAAATATTTACAAACTTGATCTAAACTATTTCTCAATGTTGAACTCTGAAAATCCTTTTTCTGTCTATTTCTTTAACAAGGGGCTCTGTGATGGGTGTTTGTAAATATTATCATAGGCAGGGAGAAGAAAGGTTTGTTATACTTCAGTATAAATTTTCCTTCAAATAATGTTTGTTCAATTAAGACTAAGGTTTAGTCTTCATCAAAAATTAAAACTAAGGTTTAGTTGGGCGATTTTCATCTTTAGTGTCTATATTAATTTTTGAGAATATATTATTTCAAGTTGAGAAAATAAATCCTGTGTAGACTGCAGTTTTTAAAACTTTCCTAGTGATCGGGGTGTTAGTTGAATCTTAGTAATTCTAGGAGATTTCTCGGTTACGTTTGAGGATAACTACGCTTAATGCTAGTTATATAGTGGTTAAACAAATCCTTAAAATGTGACATAATCAAGAGAACATATTGGTTTCTTTGACTACTCATCAATATGTTTCTTTCCATCGTTTCTTATAATCAAAGTTACATATTATCAGATTGGATACACGTGGTTGAAACTAGGGGTTGTGGCATATGTTCCACTTGATACATTCAGTTGGCACCTCACTTGGGACATTCTAATTGTAGGAAGTGATAAGTTCATAGAGAAACTGTTCTATTTATTAAGTTTGTTGTCACCTTGTGCATTCAGCTTGAAGGTAGTAACTGTACATAGTAATGCAAATTTACAGGCAAACAGTGCTTTTAAGGCAAGAGAGATAAAAAAAAATGATCCATCCTTGCATAGTACTCCTTCTGGGCCATCTTCATTGGCTTTGATTGACTTTTATGGAGACTAAGAGTAAAATGTTTGAAAGTATTGTTATACAGAGTTTGGTCAATAAGGATTTAAAATGATAAGTTTGAAATGTTAAACATGGAGAAGTTGAAAGGAAATTACTTTAAATGAACCATTTAAGATAGCATTAGTTTATGATTTCTTGAGTTGGAGGAGGAAAGTATGTTTTTGAGGGGAAAAATATTGGTTTTTCAGGATAGAGCTTAATCATTATTGGAATAATGGCGGGATTGAAGTTCAAGGTAAAAAAAAAATGAAATCATTATGCTAGTTTTTGACTTTGGAGGTCTCTTGAAAGAGTTCAAAAAGGAAAAGTCTAAGTCTAAGTGTAGAAGATTGATTGAAGTTTAAGTCAAAGTAGTGAATCATTTTGGTAGTGGGAATCGACCTTGAAGGTATCATGAAGATTTCTAGAAGGAGAAGTCTAAGTCTCTACCTTAATCATTTTAATGACCATTTCTATTCTGAGTATTACCAAATAGATTCTACTCATGGGAAACCATGAACTTCAACTTTACTTTGTTCAGCTTATTTTATTCTTCATGCCTGTTCATTTATGCTCTGGTTTTTGGTTGCACTATAGTGGTTGTGCTGTTTATACTCAATTTCACTGATTATATCTCCTTTAGTTTACTTGAGCTTTGAATGTATTTATTTTCAGTTCCTTTCTGGTTGAACACTTTCTTCTTTACTTCCTTTGCCCTTCTAAATGTTGTTATCTGAATGATAAATCGTTCATGTGAAGGTGTGTCTGCAAGCTTAGAGAGCTCTAAAGTTGATGATGATATAGAAGAGGAAGATGATGGACAACGGAGAAGAAAGCGTCCCAAAAAGATACCCAGCAAGGAAAGTCTGGAGCAGGCTGGAATTTATCAAACTCACCCACTTAAAGTGACACTTCATATAGACGATGATGAGATACAATCTACAAAACTTGTCACTTTGAAGTTTGAGTACTTAATTAAGTTGAATATTGTGTGTGTTGGAGTTGAAGGCTCTCAAGAGAATCCTGATAATGACATCTTATGCAATTTATTTCCGGATGACACAGGCCTTGAGCTTCCGCGCCAGGTTTTCAGCTTGAGATATTGGTGTATTAATTATTCCTTTTACTTTCAACTGTTTGTTTCAGCCTTTCTGATTGATTCAACTTCGTGTGTGTTCTGCAGTCAGCTAAGCTAATTGATCATTCTATTGTGTTCGATGAAAGGAGAACCTCACGACCATACAAGTGGGTCCAGCATCTGGCAGGCATCGACTTTTTACCTGAGGTGTCACCATCACTTAGGGGTTTTGGGACGTCAAATGATGAAACAGCAAAACACGCTGCTGTTATCTCTGGTCTATCGCTGTATCGGCAGCAAAATCGGGTGCAAACGGTTGTGCAACGAATTCGTGCTCGGAAAAAGGCTCAGCTGGCTCTAGCGTGAGTCACTGTAACTGTATGTTTTGCATCATGGATCCATAGGGACAAATATCATAGATGAGACTGACTTGTGGCAGAGATGATCTTATGTGCAGTTTTGTTTTGCTGAAGATGTTTGAATTTATTAAAGATAGTTAATGTTTCCCTTGCTCTGCAAGTTCATTCTTGGCCTTCTTTCTATTTTCTACTGTGTCCTCTTGTTCACGGAGAATGATGTGATGTCTTGTATTCCTTGTTCTTTCAGTACTGAAATTCCATCTCTGGACTTGTCTTTTTCTCCTATTCCTCTTTTATTGTTTGCCCTTAAGGTTAAAAAGCAAGGCGTAACTCATGTTGGAAATTTGAACTTTTTTTGGCTGAGTTACAGGGAGCAGTTTGACTCTCTAATGAACCTAAACTGGCCAGTTCTAGCCGGTAGAAGTGTTCCTTGGGCCTCACACGATCCTCGCTGTAGTTTGCATGCATGGGTCCCTCTTTGCCCATCTCCTAGTCAGGTTTCGACACTGGCTGTCGCAGAAACAGAACAAGTTCAGCTTCCTACAGAAGTTGTGGTGGATGGGAAATCTGCCTCTTCAAAAGAAGAGGTAGAAAGCACGAGGGAGGATGGGGAGCTTCCATCTTTAGTTCCTGTCACTTCTATAAATGATACTAATGCCACTCCAAATAAAAGAACCAATTTTGATCATTCCATAAAGCTGTCTTTCATTTCAAAGAGTGCCAGCTCTCCAATTATAAAGGGGAAGTCACCGAGTTTTAAGAAATATGGAGATGATGCAGATCTTATTCTGGAATCAGATAGTGAAGTGGATGACACTGTGCAGGTTGAGCAGGATAGTAATAATACACCTGGGCTTGCCGGGTTCAGTGACAAGTCATGGGTGGACTGCAAGGTTCAGGAATATTGTCTCGTTCTGACAAGAAAGATGGATAACGAGGAAAGAAAAATGAAATTGGAATCCAAGGTCTAACATCTTACCCTTTTCATTTTCTATATCAAATTCAATTTAAATTTCCTCTTCATGAGTGGTCAACATTTGGGTAATTCTTATGGCAGATCAAAATCAGCAAGGAGTATCCACTTAGGCCTCCTCTTTTCACATTGAGCCTTTATGAGGCAATACAGTCGGAGAACTATTCCAAGGTGGATAGCTCTGTGTGGTACAATGAACTTCGCAGCATGGAAGCAGAGGTAAGCAGTAACAAACTTAATGGTTGGTTTTGCTGCATGTGGCTATGTTACATGGACTCTTTATTTGCCTGGACCGTGTCAAGTGGGTATGTGTTTTACATATATCTAAAAGTTGAGTGTTCTTAATCCATGTAAGGTAGGCCTGCAGTGCAATGCAATTCAACCACGAAGCTTTGTGGCTAATGTTTGACGAAAAGGAGACTCTAGGTTTATTCCTTAATTAACCCACCGTAATTTTGAGGATTCCTCAGACAATAGCTGAACTTGTTCACTAATTGAGATTGGGTGATGTCAGTTTGCGACAATTTTATTGGTCAATCCTAAACTGAAGTAGCTATTTAATCTGTTGCAGGTCAATGCTCACATAATAAACACTATACCTGCAGATGAAGAAAACTTGGTCTTGGCTCATCAGGTTCGTTGTCTTGCCTTGCTGTTTGACTTTTATGCTGAAGATGGGGAGTCATCTTCTGAGAAGAGAAAGAGCACTTCTGTGATTGATGTTGGTTTGTGCAAGCCTATGACTGGTCAGCTTGTCGCTCGATCATTTAGAGGTCGAGATCATAGGAAGATGATCTCATGGAAAGACAGCTCTTGCACCCCTGGCTATCCGTACTAGGTAATATCCCAATGTTGTTACATTTTGTATTATTATTTCTCAAATGCTGGGTTGTTTAAATCCATGTGATTTGTCTTTCGTGCTATAACATGTACTAATGAGATTCATGTTGCAACATACCTAGTCAAAATGTTATGACTCTTAAGACATTAGGATGCTATTTGTTGCCCATCTTTTCAAAATGATGGGCATGATGATAGCCACTTCCTCTAGCTCCAGAATTGGTTTGACAATGGCTGATTGTTTATTTGGTCAAAGAACATGGTGGCGTTCTGCATCACCGGTTGAGGGAGGTATTTGAAATGGTATTGTTGGCACGTTTCAAGTTGTGACATTGTTTAAGATATTCTCCAAATCAAATTATGGAATTGTAAAACCATTAAGTTATAGATATAGCGTATCCGTTTGGACGGCATCTTTTTATACTACTGCATCGTGTAAAGCGCTTTTTCAACTATATTTTTATACTTGTGCGGACTAGTGTTTTAAAAGGCGAGAGCGTGAGTCGGAGCGCTTTACATAATACGGAGCAAGATGAAAGTCTCGAGACATGGGGCGTAAGCCCCACGGATCTTTAATTTTTTAAATTTATGAATTAATAATATACGTGAGGCGGAGCGCTTTACATAATACGAAGCAAGACGAAAGCCTCGAGACATGGGGCGTAAGCCCCACGGATCTTTAATTTTTTAAATTTATGAATTAATAATATAGCATTATAACACAATAAAAATAGGAAAAATGCCTAAATATGCCATTGTACTTAACGAAATGGCTCATCCATGTCACTCGTTAATAGTTGGGCCTATTAGTGCCTTTGCTGTTACACCACTGGCCTATCTATGCCACTATTCATTAACAGACAACTCATCCCATACTAAAAAATAAAAAACCACTAGTTTGACATGTGTCAGTTACCCAAACCACTACATAACTCTACCCCACTTCCCACTCTAACCCCGGTTACCCCAACTAACCCAACCCTATTTATTTTCTTACCAGATGTTTATTCTCCCAAAATCCCATTGCAACGGTGGATAAAAATACTCTAGATACAAGTGAAACAATAAGCTGTCCAAATAACTTTTTTTCCATATTGTCTTGTTCAGAACATACTTAAAACACAACCATCCCTTAGAACATAACTAAACTACTACATAAACAGCGGCAAATTCAGAATTTAAACTCTATAGGTTCAACTTTTAAGATTTGTAATATTAACCCATTATATTTTTAAAGTTATGGGTTCATATCCATTATTTTTACAATTTTAATAAATTTTTACACATAAGTTTCTACTCCGCATAAAAAATTATGGGTTCAATTGAACCCGCATCTACCATAAAAATATAATTGAAATTGGTGGAAAGCATTTTGTCAATGATATGAAGTGGGGTTTGGGATTTTGGGGGAATAAATGTGGTAAGAAAATAAATGGGGTTGGGTTAGTTGGGGTAACTGGGGTTAGAGTGGGAAGTGGGGTAGAGTTATGTTGTGATTTGGGTAGCTGACACGTGTCAAACTTGGTGTTAAAAAATCAAATTTAGTATTTTTTTTATTTTTTAATATGGGATGAGTTGTGTGTTAATGAATAGTGGCATAAATATGCCAGTGGTGTAACGACAATGGCACTAATAGGCCCAACTCTTAACGAGTGGCATGAATAAGCCATTTCGTTAAGTACAATGGCATATTTATGCCTTTTTCCATAAAAATATAAAAGATATATTAAAAGTTCAAGAAAACTAAAAAGAATTAAATAAACTCATAAAAAATAAGATATTTAGCATGTTATACAAGTATAAATAATACAATACTGTTAAAGTTACTATGAAATATAAATTAACTCCAACCTCTTAACTTTCAAACAGTTAAAAAATATTATCAAACTACATATTTTACCTCTTTAAAAGTAAATGCACAATAAATTTTATCCATACTGTAATTTAAAATATTACTCCTTCATGAGTAAATGTAAAAATATTTTTAAATATTAAAATAAAAATGTATGATAATTTCGAAAGTCATAGAACTAAGACATGAAGATCTATCAGGTAAAGATATAAATTTAGGCTATCTATTTTTAGAAAAAATATTCAAATGATATTTACACTCATGATGTTCTCAATTAGTAAATATACAATAATATAGTTCGTTATTTGGGTTATTCACAATTTTCATATCTATATCTATCTATATATATATAATTGAGGGACATAGAACAAGTGATGTGGCACTCTCCTAAGGTGAGATTTCTAATTATCTTTTTCCTCAATTTTTAATCATTTTCTATCACTTTGCCTCTTTCTCCTTTCTATTATCTTCTATCGAACCGTTTAGTCGGAACCCAAAAGACACGACGTTAAATCTAAGAAGGTTATTACGATTAGTCACAACCCAAAAGGCACACTCAAGGGCGTATCTAGGGGGTTTTATGGCGCACGTGAACCCATGCTTCCCGCCCTAAATCATGTATAGTAATGTTATATTTTTTTCAAAAATATTTAAATATGTGTGTGCACCCATGCTCAATGTATTATATGATGTGATGATTACTGAGTGTACCTCTCTAGGTGAGGTTGTGAGTTCAAATCTTATGTCAATCAATATTAATTAAGTACTTTTTCTTTTTATTTCTTTTTTTATTTGGTTTATTCTTTCAAAATTTTCACACATTGAAATTCCTATTCTTCTTTTGTCGCTGTAAAATCTTAAATGATTAAACAAAATGTGTATCTTAAAACTAGTAGCAGTGTATGATGTAACATATAGTCAACGGGTTCAACTGATCTCAATATTTTCAACATGAAAAATAGATATAGATGTAAGAAAATTACTATTTTTAAAAAATTATAATTTTGAACTTATAATTCCAAAAGTGCAATGGGTACGCAATCGTAAGAACTAAAGGTTGAACCCGTATATATTCTGGATCCTTCTCTTCTTAATAGTGCACCCGTCCTACCAAAATTCTGGATTCGCCTCTGGGCACAATGTTAAAATTAACGTTATTATATGTTACTTTCTCCCTCGCTCTATCTTCCTACTTTTTGACCCAACCCAAAAGAAACAATATCAAAGATCACCCTTATTGGCTGTTGCACGTTACTTTCTCCATGGCTCTCTTCCTATTTTTCAATAAGTCTATTACAGTAGTTTCTCCCTCGCCATGTCTTCTTCTTCTTTCTCCCTTAATTTTTTTTTTCAATTCAATGTGTAATGAATGTGATATTAATGTATTATTTAAACAGTATATGATCTTGCTTTCCCTATTTAAAGTCGTGCATGCTATGCTGAGAATACTAGCAATATGTAATGCAGGAAGGGATGAATTTTAAGTGCCAACTTTCTTCGAGTTAGAGCAGTCAATAAATTTTTGTATTTTTATTATCTTTATTGCTTCTTTTGTTTTCTTCTATCTACGTGACTGTAGTAATATTTTAGGATATACCAATTCTTACAGCAATACTCCAACAAAGGTTGGAATTTCTTCTGACCAACAACAAGGGGCTATCTCCACAACTTTGTCTGCTTTTTTCCTGGAATGAAAAACTGAAGAAATATATGGAAAGAGTGGAATGGAAAAAGGAGATAAAATGAAAAGAAGGAAAAAAGAAAAGGAGAGATAACAAAATAGCAAATCCAAGAAGAACGAGTTAATTTTTTTTTATCATTAGTATTTCTTTCTACTCCTACTGCCTCTTTTCTAATTTCTTCTTCTATTATTTCTTCCTACAAATATTTCTGTTTTATTTTTGCATGTGTAGATTTAATAAAAGTTAGAGTTCTTAGCATTATATTTAAAAT